AATTTGGTATTTTTTTCCTAGTATAGTAACAGATTAATTATCCGGAGACCAGAATTCTGGCAACTTCAAGCATCAGAAGAATGATGACCCTGGAAGTAAGGATTTTTTTTTTTTTTTAAACATCTCTGATCATAAATGAAATAATGGCAATGAAGATAGGAAAAAAGTGTCATAGATTATTCTGATGTCTTACAATTAGTTGCTTCAGTCGTCAAAGGGATCAGGTTTTCTGATGGATATCTGTAAAAGCCATACTACACCAAAAACTACAGGAAAAAATTACAAAAACATTGACCAACATGGCAAAATACTTATGATGCTTGAGAAAGACTGACTACAGAAGTGAAGCTACAAACTCATCTGTGCTGTAAAAGTTCTAATATAGAAAAGGACCAAACAGAAATGTGGAAAATGGAATTATTCAAATAGTTTTACTGAAATGGCAGGGTTGTAGGTAAATTTCATTTATTAATAATAGTAATATGAAATACTAGTAATAAAGGAAAGTACGTTTAATGAAAAGTTAAGCTAAATATTCTGAGCCTTATCATCAGTGGCATCTGCTGTCTTGTAAATGACTCATTGTTGACCGTGCCAGATACCAAGTGATTACTAAAAAAATATGACTAACAAATATAGGCCCTTGACACCCCAAAAATGGTCGTGATAGTATATAAACTTGGCTCTTACTGGATTATTAAAGTTAAATTGTCTTTACAATTTTGTTTTTTATCCAATAAATACATCATGAGCATATAAAAGTAATATTTAACATTATACTTTCTTTTTCTAGACCACTGGCCTCGGAGGATCAGTAGTAGCAGGTCATGCATCAGACCAGATTGAAAACATGGTGCCTGTTAAGGATCGCATCATTAAAGTCACCTTTAATGCAGATGTGCATGCAAGCCTTCAGTGGAACTTTAGACCTCAGCAAACGGAAATATATGTAAGTCATCAAAGCAATTATTAAGATTACTTTTTCAGTGTGAAAATTCCTTTCGTTACTTAAACTGCTTCACAACTTAGGAAACACTTATCTAAATTTAATTTCAAAATATTGACAGACTCCATTACTGTAAAATTTTTATTCCCACAGACTACTTTTTGACAGTGCCCTATGTATAATGTACCAGAATACATGGTACTACAGTAAAAGTCAGTTGGGACAATGGAAAATGTCATGTTTTTATTAGAATCATATTAAGAGTTCACTCAGTTCTCTGATCTGTACTAATCTTGAGAGTAGGAATAGCTGTCATACTGTACAGTTGAGTTTTCCTCAGGTATAGATGATAGGATAGGAAAAATGTCATTGCTTACAATGAAAAGTAGTTTACTAGTTTACATCAAAAGTATCCCTGCCCCTTGAAAAATAAATTAGGACCTCGGAAGTAAGCATACTGGTCATGTTCTACTTCAAAGACTATACCTTAAAGGTTTGCTAAAATCTTACCTGAACTCCTAGGGGATTTAATTGAAATTATCTCATTAATTGAGGAATAACCAGAAAAGCTTAATTGTAACTCTTTTTGGAAAATCCTTATTAGTGCTTCCACAGGTTAGTAAACATGACTGAATCTCATATTGAGGTTTTATAGGGTATGATTTTGAATACCCTAATCACATAGCAGTAATAAGGTATCAGTGGTTGAATTGGTATAAGTGACAGGAGTATCCTTTGGCAATTGATTTTTTTTTTAAGCTTGGTGATTTAATCTATTATTTTCTCAAAACTGTTTAGTGCTTTTTGATTAAATAAAAGATTCTATTCAGTCAGTTTAATTTAATTATATGTTTAATTTACTGTTTCTAAGCTAAGTTTACTGTTGGTAACTTTTTAAAAAATCTTTAGTCAATCATATAATGATATTTAGGAATATGTGCTAAGATATTAGGCTTGATCTGTGATAGATTTGGCTTGTTCTTGAACACATGTTAAATAACTTAATTTGCAGATTATTACTTGAAGATTTCAGATATACAAGAAGACAATCCATAACTAAGTATACATAATAGAGTATCAGGTCTTACTGACATATGCAAGTGAAATTTCAAAATCACATGTTCATGGGTAGTATAATTTATTTTACTAACTCTTAACATTAGATTACGTATTATGGCTGGCCTAATGCAAAGG